CCACTCGCTCCCACCCCTGCCGCACCTGCGCCTGCGCCTGCACCGCAGCCCCAGCAGCAGCAACCACCACCGCATGCCGCGCCCGCACCCGCTGCGCCCGCACCGTCTGCTCCGAAGACGTGGGCGTCGCTCGCTGCTACGGGCGCGAAGAGCTGGGGTACCGCCGTCGCCGCCCAGTCCCGCGGCACCAGCGAAGCGCCCGCGCCCAGCAGTGCGTCACCCGCTCCCTTGAGCGGCCCGCAGTCGCCCGCTCCTCACGTTACGACGCGGCCACTAGCGCGGCAAGACGCGCATCCCGCTTTGATCGCCGCGCAGAACGTCCAGACAGCGCAATGTTTCATCAAGGTACGTCTTAGTTGTCATCTCTAGTGGCCTCAACGCTCATAGTCGCTTTCCTCGCCCAGGGCGTCACTGAGAACATCACCGATGCGGCGCTCCGGACAACTCTTACCGCACGCTTCGGGCCGGTCAAGGAGCTCGAGATCGTCCGGAGCAAGGTGTGCGCGTTCCTCGAGTTCAACCAGCTCGAGGCCACGCGCCAGAGACCAGTGAGGCGCCGGCGGGCAAAGAGCTCGAGATCGCCCGTGTTCGGTGTTGTGTAGTGGAGCTCAGGCTGTACATAGCAGATACAAAATATATTTCATTGCGACCGGAACTCTACGTGTGCAGCTCGGATTCTCGCGCGGCCATCTACGCTACGTTCGTTCAGTGAAGTACAAGTCCGCGGAATAGGCGCCCGTGTGCATCGTAGATGCGAAGGACGAGAAAGTACCGCGAATAGCGACGTCGTATGTGTGTTTCATGGCTCTCTATTGCACTGTGGGTCTCTGCTGTACTATGGGTCCCTGCTGTGTGGTGCGGGAGCACGCAGAGGGCACGGCGGCGCAGAGTGCAGGGCTCGGACACGGAGGCCTCGATTGCGAACACCCACACGAGCGGCTATTCTACACGTCTTGCTTCTCGCCACCACGCCCGCCCTTCGATTTCGACTTCGACTTCGCCGCCGCGCCTCGAAACTCGCCAGGGCTCGCCATCTATTGTCCAGCGCACAAGACACGCCCATCTGCCCATGCACGACTGCGTACATGCTCGCAGCTGCGACACACCTGAGGCCGCCTTTGCGAATCACCAGGGTGCGAGCGAGGTAAGTATGTGCACGCGTTTCAAGCCGCGAGCTCATCCATAGCGGCCGCGGCGTTTCCCTGTGTGCGCACAGACGCGTTGCGACGCGCCTGAGCATGCCCGAGTGGTACCGGCCACGTCGCCTGTCGCGAGCCCTCTCGAAAATGAAATGGCCTGTGCTCCGCCGTTCGCAGTACGACACGAGGCTGCGCGCAACGACGCGAATCGGGTACGTGCCCATAAGCATGCCTGCGCATTTTCGAGGCACTCCCGGCAGAGGAAAACGTCGTCTTTGACGTGCTCACGCGTGTGCAGTGTCACGCTAGTGAGGGCGGACGATGTGTACCACCGCACAACAAAAGTTGACACATACCTCATTTGCAGAGGCAGCAGCACGTGTCCTGTCTGTCCTCGTCTTTCCCCGTGCTGTAGCGTGCCTGCAGGCAGGTGCTTCAGAATGTAGGTACCGTAAGCAAATACGAGTAGGTACGTACCCGTACTGCACGTGAACATAGAATCAGTCCGAGTCCTTGCTAATGTGTGAGCCATGAGCATCAACAAGTACGTACCGTAAAGCTCCCATGCACGGTGAACACCTCAACCTGCGTTGGTCCTGCGAGTTTGAGCATGCACTGTGCTGCGCGACCACGGGTGCTGATTGTGCAAGCCTGCAATCTCGCAATTGCCGGCCCCCCGTGCGATGGACACACAAGGTACCACAGTATGGCACTGCACTGCCCTCGCAGCCATCCCTCTTCCCATCCCGTACGCCCGCCCCACCGTTGCATGTGCAGTACAACATACATAGCCAGCTCTCGTATGTGGGATATCAAATCCAATAGCATGTGAACACGTACCGAGACACAAAGCGGGCGTGAGACTCCACGGCGCCTGGCTGCCCTCCTGCCACCAGATAGCCCAATATCTTCTCATGGTGACCGTTTCCGCTGAGCATGGCCAACGCTAAGAGGAGAATATTCTGGTGAATATGTGGCCAACCGGAGGAAGTGAAGATGTGTACCTGATGAAGGAATGCCTCCGAGAACACCAGCAGCTGACCCAGGAGGAGTGCAGGATGGTCCATGGGCTGGATGCGCACAAGAGAACGGGGAGAGGGAGGAATAGGAGCAGGATACTGACACAGGCACGGGACAAGGAGTTTGTGAGCGATTTGGGAAGGTGGGAGGGACCATTGGCCAGCCCGGCCCCGGGCCAGAGCTTCCATGCGGGTACACACTAGCTAGACTGCACCGCGCCGGGGCGGTGTGCACACCATGCATCACACAAATTTGCACTCGCTTCATGCCCATTTTGCAAGGGCTGATGGCGCAGCCCAGGATACAAGCTCCTGTTCATGGAAACCCGCTCATCTTGCAACACCCACATGGAGATCTCGCTTCTTTCAGCTGTCGCCTCTCGTCTTGTTGTCTCCATTGAG